ATCATCCTTTTCGGCGCCTTCTTCTTCCTCCTTTTCATTTTCCATAATTCTGATCTTTCCCCACTTTCTCTCATAAAACCTTTGGAACTCCATATCCATTGTGTTGGTGAGTTTCGACTTCAGCTCCTTTTTTTGCATCGCCAAGAGTTTTTTCAAATTCCATAATCGTTCCGCCTCTTTCTACTCATCTTTTGCTTTTTTCTCTAGTTCGATTTGTTTTAGTATCTCTCGCTGTGTCTCCACCTCCAACTCTTTCCTCTTTTTCTCCACTTCCATCTTCTTTTGTTCTTCTTCCTGCATCTTTTCTTCCACGCTTTTCTTGAACCACATTGTCATCGTACCTGGTGATTCTTCTACCTCCTTTGGCAGCTTGACAACAACGCGTGGCGATTCGGCGCCATCACTAGTTTGCTGCCTATATCTTCCGCCTTGGTTTTCTTGCATTTGGCAACCCCTTGCAGAAATGTCCAAACTGGCCACATTTATAGCATCTGCTATTAATGTTCCCTCTCCGGTATCGTCCATCTCCTCCATTCCAGCTGCGTATGTTCCATCCTCCGCCATTGTTTCTTTATCCTCCACTGGTCCTTCCTCCATTCCCTCCGTTCCATCCGTCGTTCCCGCCGTTGTTCCAATTCCCATTAGGCCCATTAGGCCCATTAGGTCCGCCCCAGTTTGGTCCATTCTTCCCATTCTAGTTGGGTTCGTCCCACCCTCACTGCTGACCTTGGCCGTTTCCATTGTCGTTCCCTCCTCCATTATTCCCTTAATTCGAAGCTCCTTCCATAGCATCACTAAGTTGTCCCCGAATCCGCTTTCCTACTTCTTCTATCTCCATCGTCACCCTGTCTTGGTTGCTTCCCGAGTCGGGTCCGACGTCTTCACCGGAGTGTGAGATGTTCGCAAATAGAACAACGTCTACGCACCATAGACTGATGCAAGCATAAATTCCAACACTTCGACATTAGTAGTGCCAATGAGAGTACTAGCTCAACGCCTCGACATCAACAACACCAGTGGATTCGCAACCAATCAGAATTGACGGCTTAGAATGTCTCGTAAAGTTGCCACCCTCCGACATTCTCCTCGACATGTTTCGACTAGCACCGAAACTAGTCATCATCGCGAGGAATCTAAAAGGTGAGAGGATTAGCGAGTACCAAGTATCCCGTGTATAGTAAGTGAGATAGCATCCTCGTGTCATGATTCCCCCAAGTTCCCTACCTGAGTCTCATTCGTTGTCCCTCGATACTTTTTCCACGTTTTTCTTTCTTCGCTCCCTTTTCCCGTGAACTCGGCTTAGTACAACGTCTTTGTCTGTACTTCCTTGCGTATCTCCCTCACTCTGTCTAAATATCATATTTTAAAGCGTGTTTCCTTAATAACCTGTGCGCTAACTTTATTTTTTCATTTTCCTTTCCTCACCTCCTATTTGTCGTAAACCCTTTTTTCCTTAGCCTCCTTGTCTGTATTCCCTTACACATCTTCCACTCTCTTTTTGAATCTCATATTTTGGCGCACATCCATACACTTAGAAGACCAGGTTCACCCATTGACGTTCCACTTGGCTGACGAATTTCCAGAGGACCCTTTTAAGAAACTCTTTCGGGTATCCCACCAACCCGATTCAATCCTTAAAGATTTTATTGAGACTTTGGCCTTTTCCACGTTCATAGCTCAACTCCTGATCCTATGGAGCGCGCCCATCACCTTCGCATGCTTTTGCTTCCAGTCCGTGTAGGACTCAAAATCTTGCTTTGTTCGGAACTTCACCTATGCTTGGCAGCTTAGAACAACTTCTTCGTTCTTGCTTTTGCACCTGCATCCGATGCTCAGGGGCCTATTTGAAATATTTATGCTGCAACCCAAAAAAAAAACATTTGTTTTGTCCCCCATTTGTTCGGACCAGGTTATCGTCGTACATCCCTTCAGCCTTGCTTCTCGCATTCTCCATCCTTTCCCTTATTATCTCCCGCTTCCTTTTCCAAAAGAAGAGTGAAAGGTCGTTTACTAATTTGATACCTCTGACTAGGTTCTTGTCCGCCCCACAACTAGACAAGAACCAAAATTCAAAGAAGATACAAAGTAGCTTCGCCAAAGGTGGGCTACTACTTTTTCCCAGCGGTATGCCCACCTTTTGTCTAATAAGTTTCCTTGAAGCAACCAGGTAACTGAGGTAAGTACTCCTCTGTTCGTAGTCCAAAAATTCAGAAAGTCTTCAAAAATTATTTTCACTCTTTCCCTTGTATCCTGTTTCTTCGGTGCCTTTTTAGATTTCCTTTTTACAAACACACTCCTATGTCCTTTCCCCTTAAAGAAGGTCAGTTTCCATTGCATAACCCTTCTAATGGAGTCATGGGGAAGCTTAATGAAACTTTCCTTAATGTCGTACGATAGGACCTCAATTTTTCCATTCACGCCCTTGCTCTTTCCCCAACTTTCAATCCTCCTCAGCATCTTTTTTAAGTCCTTCACTGCATGTAAGTTAAAATGGCTAGCCAAAGGTAAATACTTTATGAGGCAGTTTATTCCTTTCCTGATGCTCTGGCTTTCACATTTCATAGGTTCCGAGAAGGAGGGGCTGATAGGTTTAAACTTCATGGTGTCTTTCTGCTTTGGGACTACATAGCATCTGCCCCACCTTCCTTCCTTGCTCCACCTCCCAATTTTTTCATACCCTCTCTCCTCATACTCTTCCCTGCACCTCATTGAAGTTACCAGCTCTGTTTCACATATCGCTTTAAATGCCTCGTTCCCCCAGAACATGTCCTTCATCCCCTTGGCGTAAGTGGTAGGACACATCATCAACATTTCTATTGGGTTCTTATTGACTGGGTTGCATACAAATCCTCTCGTTAGCCGTTTTACATCCATAAGTCTGTTATCCATCACGGTTTTATTCCCCCTTCTTACACATTCCTTGATTTCTTCTCCCTTTATAAATCTTGAGACACCATACCTTCCAAGGTTTGTCCCAATCTCCTTCAGCAGTCAGGTCAGTAGGTTACGATTCCCGATCTACAGCACATTGTTTGCATTTTTCAGTCCCTGGGCAATACCCTCCTCTTCGCTAATCCTGCAACTCACATGGTCCCCTCCTTTGTGGAGGGAAGAGTCTGCACACATCTAGATATGTACCATCTTCTGGGAATGCTCCCGATGGTTATGCAGAAGGTTGCCCACAGTAGGATTTTTCCTCCATACCACGCGTAGCCTTCTACACATGAGTCGTGAAAGTAGTTCAAAC